AAGTGGTGTTTTACAACCCCCCCCCCCCCCCCCGTGACCCCGTTCAGGGGTTAAGCGGTAGAAAATGAATGAATGAGTTATGTATTAATTCCTTGTTCACATGTTCATCACCTTCCTATGGATTTCAGAACTGAGCACCTCCATCAGAGCCTTTCAGCATGACTTGAAACCAGATGTACCGAAGTCTGAAGGCCAGAAGCTGCTTTTTGATACTCATGCAGTTGTGCGACTCCTCGAAGAAAATGGTCTGGCTCTTTCTTTTACTTCATACAGTTCCCTGATATTGCTCTGTTTTCACAGTAACAGTCTGTGTTGGTTTGTCCTCCTTTTTTTTCATTACAAGGTTTCACTACACAGCAAGCTGAGGTGATGGTTAGATCCCTGGTGAGGATGACAAACTCTTACATGGATGTCATCTCCGGTGACATGGTAACCAAAGTACAGCAGGTAAGACAGTGCTCAGCGATGGAGGTTTGTGTGTTGGTATGTGCAGTAGTAAACCTTGTTATCTGCCTCTGTTTCTAGTCCTGTACTGGTCACTGAATCGAGATCTTTGTGTTCTCTTCCACGACACTGTATCCCAGCAAAACGCACCATTAACCTCCACCTTTCCAAATGTTCCTCCACATGCTCTCTGCTCTCACTACAGATCACAATGTCATCCACAAACATCAGGTCAGATCTGTAGTCAAAACTAGATTTTTTCACTTGAGGATGTTAACGAAGGTGAAGCCCTTCCTATCACATGCTGAGTTAGAAGAAGCTATTCATGCTTTTATCACCTCACGACTCGACTACTGCAATGCCCTTTATGTCGGAATTTCTCAATCTCTTGACCTCTTCTGTCAACCTGTCCATCACCACAGCAAACAAGAAGGGACTCAAATCTGATCCTTGATATAGCCCCACCTCCACCTTGAACTCCTCTGTCTGACCTACAGCACATATCACTACTGTCCTACTCTTCTCATACATATCCTGAACTACTCTGACGTACTTCTCTGCCACTCCTGACATCCTCATACAGTACCATAGCTCCTCAATGCAGCTCCTTCTGACCACCTCTATACTTCTCCATTAACATTCTCAGAGCAGAAATTGCATCAGTAGTGTTCTTTCTGGGCAAGAAGCCATACTGCTGCTCACAGATAACCACTTCCTTTCTTAGCCTAGCTTCCACTACTCTTTCCCATAGCTTCATTGTGTGGCTCATCAACTTTATACCTCTGTAGTTGCTGCAACTCTGCACATCACCCTTGTTCTTAAAGATCAGCACTTCTCCTCCATTCCTCAGGCATCTTCACACTCTCTAAAATCCTGTTGAACAAACTACCAACCCTAACGTAATAAGAAAGAAAGTCACTTTCGGCTTTTCCTGTTTAGTCACACTTTTCAGATTTTTATTTGTAAAAAATCTTGAACACCATGTATCATTTTCCTTCCACTTCACAATTATGCTATGTTATGTGTTGGTCTATCACATAAAATCCCAATAAAATTCATTTAAGTTTGTGGTTGTAATGTGACAAAATGTGGGAAAAATTCAAGGGGTACAAATACTTTTGCAAGGCACTGTATATCTTTGTTGTTTGTATATATTTTCGGAAATTTTTACTTCTGCATACTTTCAGCCATTTCAGCTGTTAAAATGTTCAATCAATCAATCAATCAATCAATACTTCAGCATACGTTCAGCTAGAAACACCATTCAGGTATCAAAATGTTCCGCTTTTTCAGGACATGCGGGCATCTATTCAGAATTTTCCTAAACTTCACACTTTTTAAACTATTCAGCTTTATTTTGAAAATCTTGCTCCATTCAAATGAATGGGAAAATTCTACTTCAGCATACTTTCAGCTATTAAAATGTTCAGCTCTTCAAGGACATTCATGCTTTTCTTCAAATGTTTTCTAAACTTAATATTTTTAACATGTTTAGCTTTATTTTGAAAATCTTGCTCCATTCAAATGAATGGGAAAATTCTACTTCAGCATACTTTCAGCTATTAAAATGTTCAGGTCTTCAAGAACATTCATGCTTTTTTTCAGAAAGATTCTAAACTTCATACTTTTGAAATATTTTGCTTTTTTTTGAAAATCTTGCCCCATTCAAATGAATGGGAAAATTCTACTTCAGCATACTTCATTTGAATGGGGCAAGGTTTTCAAAATAAAGCTGAATATTTCAAAAGTATGAAGTTTAGAAAAGTTCTGAATAGAAGCATGAATGTCCTTGAAGAGCTGAACATTTTAATATTCAGCTTTGAGTCAACTAGTAGTATTTCTTGTCTTCTTGGTGAAATGTGCAGAAATTGATTGCAGAGATAAGTGTTATCCTGGAAACTATAGATAAGATGCTAACTGCATGTCTACTTTCAGTTAGAAAGAAACGCCTGAAAATAACAACACACACACACACACACACAGGACCACAGCTGCCGCAGCGGACAATTTGCATTGTTATTGATTTATGATTTAATTATTTAAATCAAGCTTATTGCTCATTTCATCTTGTCCACCCACATTCGCATATAGTGCTATACCTTTTAAAGTCAAAGCATGCAGTAGCACAATTAACAAACACATTTATCCTTCCTTCCTTTCTTGAGGTTTGACATAATTACATTAGTCTTCGGTGAACCTGGAGCTTGTCTGACTATAATGACCACCTTAGAGGCTTTGTGATCTTTATTGGTGATTTATTTGAACGCGTTTCTACACAGTTAAGTCAGCTGATGCCTTTTTGGTGGTGATCTTGACATGTGTGTGCTCCACCCATTGATTGTCTTAAATCCTGCCTCCTCCATGTAAACAGTTGGGACAAAGTATAAATTTTTCCCAGATGTAACTTATGTGTTTTTCACCCTGATGTGTGTACAAATGGTAATTTTTCTGCTAAGTTTGTTTTTAAGAAGGTATTTGATATAGAAAGAGGTGTATTTCAGTTAATTTGACAGCTTTGATTGGCGATCTGATGCTATCACTCCACTTCTGGTCACTACTGTGCAGAATCTGGTTGCCAAAAAGACAAAATGGCAGCTGCTGTATACATGATATTTTGGCTTCATTTTTGCATACTGGAGGGAAGTGGTGATGCCTTGTTTGTTGTGTTTATACATGTCAATGACCCCACCAGAACCACCATGATGAATGACGTCATATGACTCCCTGTAAATTGAGGATGGTTATTCATAATGTCAGAACCACAGAGAACCTCTGGAGGTTTTTGGAGTTTTTAACCACCTGCAGTTTTTAGCAGACAAGCTCGTAAACCAATGTACGTTACATGACCAGCAGACAGCAGCAAATTTGATCAAGTAAGTTAAACATCTGACATTCTACAGACTCGGATACAGTATTTCAACATGCGTTCATTAATTTCTTTCCACTAGAGAGCAGCACAACAAGCTATAAAAAATGTCTAATGCTGGTTTAATTTTCAGCCTTAGCAGGATGGAACAGATTGCCTTTTGAAAAAAAAAAATCTAAACTTTTTACCTCAACTGAAGTTAGTAATTGGACTGTCTCTCAAGATTTTTTTCAGACACGCTTGCCCAGACCTGCCTAATTAAGCCCACACAAACCTCTGACAGTTTCTCATTCCTTTCACTGTGCTCTGGTCTTTTCTAATAAAACCTGAAGTCTTAACAGGTAGAGTGCTGGTGCCGCTGCTGACAATAATGGCGTTGTTTATATTGCTCTCCGCGTCACTTTTAAATTATCTGCACACCAGAGGCAGTGGTTCCTATCCACTGGAACCTCTATTTAATAAGCAGAATTCATTCCCTTTGTCTCTCAGCATGGCTGCAGGTGGAGACCATGTTGTTGAACGCACAGTCAAATGCTGAAAGTGTCCCAGCTTGTTATGCTCCTCTCAAAACCAACAGAACAGTTTTGTGTGTGTGTGTGTTTTCAACATTTGGATATCAAGTGGTTGTCTGTGTTTTATTATCCAGGCTATTTCTTTGGCATACAAACATGTCCACATGCTGTTAACGTTTCCTTCATTAATCACTTTATGCAGCCTTATTTTCAGACAGCCATCTGAACAAATACACACCAAAAAATCCAGCAGTGTTTTAACTGGCCAACACATCATGCAGATATACAGCATAAATCAAATAAATAAAAATAAGAAATATATAAAATAATTAAAATTTGAATGGTAAGTTCGGTAAACTAACATGCACATATTGTGTGTTGACAAGCTTGTAATGTCAGATGTTTCAGACATCTTTGGGAAAGCCCTGTGTTTTCTGACCAACCCATTCATATATAGAAACAACTCATTTTTTCTTTTTTTTAACATAGGGCAATCTCAAGCAAACAGTCTCCTGGGCTGGGATTTCAGCTGGCTGAGAGCTTGGGGGGCTGAAGTGTGTGTGACCTACTTCATCATATCCTTAATGCCCTTCTGAACAGTAGACTCAATCAGACAGACAGCCAGCAAACCAGAAGAGCTGTGCCCACTTCAAGCCCTTGAGAAAAGACAATACAGCTGCAGCCAGCAGCTTGGAGGCAGGTTAGATTTGTTATTGAACACCTGCTGGGCTGTTGCAGGGCTCTGGCTTCCAGTTCTCTTGGGTATCCAAGAACTGAAATCTGTCTGGGGTTTGTTAAGGGAGAAATGAAATGTGAAAATGAAAAAGCCTGAAGGTGACTTCATGGAAATCAATTAAAAGTTTGATAGATACAGACTGAGCTGGCTGCAAGTTTATCAGCTGTTTTAGTCCTGATGAATTCATTCTTGGGTTTAAGTTTTCTTTAGGTTGCATTATTTGTATGTTGTCTATAGGTTTATTCATATTAGGCCTGGTTTAATTTAGGTGGAGCATGGAAGTTGTTTCATTCACATTTTACAATGACTGTCTCTTTCATATCTGTGACTTCATCCAACTGTACTCATTCAAGAGTGCAGTGTGGCCATTACAGCCTCATTATTCTCAGTGTTCCTCTGCTGACTCACTCATGCCAAGACAATTAGCTGCTGCTGACACCCATGTACATGTATAAGTAGACATAAATGCACATGGATAGACTATGGATGTAAGTTGGATAGTGGATTACAAGATGGCACCTGTTCTTTCCACTAAAAGTTGCACTCTTGAGACGTAAGGCAAAAAAAACCCCATTCTTTTTCCAGGTTTACATTGTGGGGCCCACTGCACATGTGCATTGGCGTTTCCCTATTGTCTCAGACCTGCACAGTCCCACTCAGCCTACAGTATATACTTTACTCCCTGATGGATATAAAATTCATAATACAAGAAGTGATAATTCACCCAATTGGCAGTTGGATGAGTCATTTCACTAGTTTTACAGGTAACTCTTTTTGTCATTATTTTACTTGATTATCTTCCAAGAGAAATTGGTTGTGGTCTATGGAGGAAAAGCTTTTTGGGTCTCAGGGGATTAGTCTTTGCAGTACCATGAGTGGTCACTGGGGA